ATTATGTGCCTTAGATATGTTTTAATTAACCAATGTATTTTTTATTTGCTATTTTAGTTACTTTAGCATCTTGCCTTTCTCAATTCCTCTATGTTTTTACCAGATTTCCTGATGATAGAACATATTCTAGCATGAGCATACAGCAAATAGACAACAGTATTTCCTTGCTCATCAATAAGTTTAGACAAGTAAGAAATGAATGGAATAGTCACAGTGACAATGGTCAAATAGTAATTGACTACCCAAGTGTTTAGTGTTCAATGAGTTAATTTGCTTATTTGTTTATTTTTTTACTTAACTTGTTCACATATTTAATTGCTTAATTATTTAATTTTCTTATTTATCTTAAGATTTTGGTTGCCTTTCATTTATAGGAGACAAAAAAGAACAATGGGGTTCCTGCTAGTCGGTCACAGGTGTGGATGGCCGCATACATGAAAGATGGTACTTCCAATAGTGATTCAGTTAATGAAGTTATGGTATGTGATACTACTTTATCTTTGGACTTTTAATATGATTTATATTTATATTGGAGGCTAATTATTGAATTCAAACTTGCAGACTCAAATGAATGAGTTAACAGAGCACATGGAGGGATCTTCTACTGACCCTGCAGCATTACAGGAGCAAATCTTCACACAAGTTATGGGCCCAGAGCGACCTGGCCGTGTTCGGACGTTTGGATTGGGACCGTCACCCACTGATGTTTTTGGAGGTGGATATAGGCGGTCACAAGAGCAGAATCGTCTCTTCCAAACTCAAGTTCAGGAACAAGTTCAAGAGCAACTTCAACGGTATCAAATGCAGTTCGAGTCGAAGATGAATGAAGTAATGGAGAAACAAATTCAGGCTATACGCACAGATTTTCAGTCACGAATTCAGTTTTTGGAATCTCAATTGCAAGCTGCAGGCGTGCCCGTTGATTTAGTTGTTGCACCATCAAACCCATTACATAGGCAGCAGGTATTTTATTATTTTTACTAGTTATTACTTTAAATTTCCTAGAGCTAATATACAACTTAAGCCTCTTATTGAATGATAGGTTGTGGATTCACTTAGTAGTCATCCTACTGTTCGGCCAATGTCACATCAACAACAATCTCATGCATTTTCATCCCAAGAGGTGAGCAATCATTTAATCAAAAGCTTTTTTGACAAATAACATATCTTATTAATTACAATACTTGCTCTTATTAAATATAGGTTCACCTTTCAAAGAAAGAGAAGAAGAATAAGAAGAAAAAGAACTAACAAGGTAAAAATGTAGATTTATACTTATTAATCTATCCTCTAAACTTTAAAAATTAGTGCTATGTTTTATTTTTATTATTTTTTATTAAGTATTCATATGTATAACATAATAAATATATTAAACTATATACTTTGCGCCCCCCCATGTGTCATGAAAATTGTTGCGGATCTTCAATTTGGTGGGGGGTTTGTGGAGGGGGAAAAAAGAAAAGGGAAACAAAATGTGAATAATATTTAGCTTACATGTTATTTACATTTCCCTTCAATTTTCTAGTGTCATGTTTCTTATTGGTTATATTATACATGATATTGGTGGCTAGTCCGAATTGTTTACACCTGTTGGTTATATCCTCTGTTAATGGTGCTCAGTGCAGTTTATGGCTGTAGAAAATTCTTTATCTTCAGTCAAAATGCTGCTTATCAAATCCCAGCAGTATTACAAAGTGTTCCTAGTTAAGTAGCATAATTAGTACCATATGATTTAGCTCAGTAGTTTAGAAGTGCATACTGAGACTATACTTGTGTACGTGTATTTCTGATCACTTTGCTGTAATAATATTCAGTTCTAAATGAATAATTTTGACCTTTTCATCATTAACAGGAAGAGGCTACCAAAAGCAAGTCTGCAGGAAAGGCATAGTACCAGACTATGATCTCCGACAGCGATTACACCGAGTTTGAAAACTTCTCAAAGTGGTTGGGAGTCTCCCAGTGAGATTTTTCTGTCTTTGAGTTTTGTCTTAGTATAATATCTTTATCTAATTGTTTTGTTTCAAGAGGAGTTAATTTACTTTTTGTGGCAGTTTTGAGACAAGATTTGAGTTTGGTGGGTAATGTTTTATGACAAGATGGATGGATTTTTCATTTTAGCAGATCTGGAATCAAAATTTTACAAATTGTAGTCTCTTACTTAAACACGGTTTGTTAAGTTTTTTTTGAATGAGAAATTGAATTAATGCTTCATTTGTTATTTGAACGAGAGTTATTATTTTAAATGTTAGTTTTATTACAGATATTTGAATGGGAGTTAATATTTTGTATGTTAGTTTTATTATAGGTATTTTTTTATTAATTGAATGAGAAACTAAATTCAATATTTTTTACAGGTATTCTTTTTAATTTAATTAAATAAAATTAGCATAATATCCCCAAAAAAAAAGAAAAAAAAAAAAGGAAGATATGACGGCGTTTCTACAAACGCCTCCTAATCCCTCAACAGTAACGGTAATATTTTTAAAACAGATACGACGGCGTTTCAAAAACGTCGCTAAATATTGTTGGTGACGTCAGCGTGTGTGTGGTGGGACATTTGGCGGCGTTTTAAAAAACGCCGCCTGTACTAATATCACGACGTTTTTAAAACGTCGCAAAGCTACAGCGACGGCCGCAGCTTCGACGTTTGGTACTAAACGCCACAAAAGGAATTAGGGGCGTTTTTGATACATATGGCGGCGTTTTTTAAACGCCGCTAAAAGTGCGATTTCCAGCACTTTTAATTAGATTATTGTCTAAAGTCTAAAAAAAAAAGAAAAATTAAAAATTAAAAAATAAAAAATTTAGTGTTGAAGGCCACAACTTTTTAAAGATTATTACATAATGCATCATTAATTATTATTTCTAAAATAATTAATAATTAATTAAATATATTAGTCAATAATTTTGTAAATTAAAATTTTAATAATTTTAAAATGAGAGGTTGGAACTCCTAGAAAGTTTCTCACCAAAAAATTCTTTTTCCTTATATAATATATAGATAGATAGATATTAGAGAAAATTACCCAAAAAAAATTCAATTCGAATGTAAGAAGTTTGTAACAAAAATAAATTATAAAATTTTAATTTTATTAATTTAAATTCTATTTTTTAAATTTATTTTCAGTCTAAATTATTGACCTACTTTTATTAAGTAAAACCAATAAAAATATGAAATTTTAGTTATTAAACTTAACATTATTTACATAAAAAGACTAAAATATCATTTTTATTAATTGTAGTAACTAAAATATTTTTTATTTTTCATTGGTTTTACTTAACAAAAATAGACAAATAGTTAGATTGAAAACAAATAAAAATACTAAGATTTTAAATTAACATTTTAAATTTCAAGATTTGTTTTGTTGTCAGACTCAAAACTTAAGAAATTTTTGTTATGTCACATTTTTGCTAATAGCTGTGAGACAATTAAATTCAGATGACAAATATATTTATTTATAATTATAATCATCATAAAATTATTGTCTATATCAAATTAGTTCACCAGAAAACATATGATAAATTTTTCTTACAAATTGATATGACATGCAGTAATAAAATATTGATATTTAAAGTAGACCACCCACTAAATTAAATGATAGACTAATTTAAGTTGGTTAGAAAAATTTATTTCCACAACATTACTCTTTTTGAAAAAAATCTTTCTTGAAATTAATACTGTGTTTGTTTGCCACAAAATAATTAGTGGATTGACAATAATCAGTCTGATTTGAGTTCTTTTTTTTTCTCTCTTTTTTTAAATATATATGTATATAAACCGCTTAAGTGCTTGAGATTTGTTTTTTCTTTTCGATTTTATCTTTTCATTTTAAATAATTTACTAATTGTGACATATATATTGAGTGAAAGTTTTTTTTTCTAATTACGCAAACATTCTTAGTCAATTACGCAATTCTTGAATAATTATGAAATAGATTTTTTTGGTAATTACGTAAACATTCTTGGTCAATTATGAAATATAAATCTTTTATTTTTAACAAATTACAAATGCGCACATAAGATTTGTTTAAAATATGAATCGGTCATATAATACTAGAAACTACAACTGTCATTTGTTATAAATTTTAATTTAATACTATACTCAGGAAAAAAAAAACTATTCTCCTATGCAGTAATAAATTATCAAAATTTTTTATTAAAAAATATTTCTCATATCATTAAAAGCTGTTAATTGACTTAATAATTTATTTATTAACAAAATAATTAACTGAAAAATATTTTTCATATCATTAAAAATTATTTATTTATTTATTAATAAAATTAGTCATTTGTTATGCGAGTATGATTTATGTATGACTAACTGAAAATTAGTCATTTGTATGTCTATATATGTGTGTGTGTGTGTGTATTTTTTTCCTACTTTATTGGTTCAGTGAATTGTCTTAATAATTTTTTTTAGATGGAAGAATTATCTTGGTATCTGTTTTATATTTATTTATTGAGAAAAGCTACACACCATAATAATTTTTTTTTTTAAATTCGAAAAAATATTAAAAACTCATAAATTCACCTAAAATGATATAGTAATAGAATTGAAGTATATAACAAATTAAAAAATGATACATATCATATCACATAATCATATCATATTTTTTAAACTTATATATATATATATATTTCCTTTATGGTTGGGTGGGAACATCCTGATGGCCTTTTAAGAGATGTTAGTTGCATATAGGATGGGTGTGGCCTTTGAAAGTCTAGTGATGTTAGTTGCATATCTATCTATCTATTTATGTATTAGGGTAAATTACACTTTGTACCTCTATACTTTACACAAAATCTCATTTTAGTCTATACACATTAAATTGTGACACTTAACCCCTGCATTTTTGGTCAAGTGTCACATTGGCCCTTCTGTTAATAGTGAGGCTAACAGAAGTTATCCTTTAGGGAGCTAAGTGTCACAATTTTGATTTGTAGGGACTAAAGTGAGATTTTGTGTAAAATACAATGGTGCAAAGTGTAATTTATCCTCACATGTTTTTCATGTGACTAACCTTTGTTAACAATGAGGCTAACAGAAAGGCCAAAGTGACACTTGACCAAAAGTGTAGGGGGTTAAGTGTCACAATTTGATGTGTAAGGGCCAAAGTGAAATTTGATGTAAAGTGTAGGGATGCAAAGTGTAATTTACCCTATATATTATATAAAGAAAATAATGTTTTTAATGAAGAATATTATTAGTATTTTAATATCTCATACTAATTTTCTAAATTTTCTTAATTTTAAACAATTAAAAAAATCTTCATTGGCTAGCTTTTATTTGGTAATCCCACATAGGGAGAAGAAAAAAAAAGTTGTTTGACTCATATAAAGTGAATCTTATACTCACATCCTATTTAATGTTATCCTATTTATTTCATAATCCCGCATCGGGAGAAGAAAGAAAAAAATGAGTTGTGGTTTTTTAGTGAGGAGCCTTGTGAGAGCTTTAATATCTCATACTAATTTTTTAGATTTTCTTAATTTTAAACAATTAAAAAAATCTCCATTGGCTAGCTTTTATTTGGTAATCCCATATCGAAAGAAGAAAAAAAAAAAAGAAAGTAATTTTATTCATATAAAGTGAATCTTATACTCACATCCTATTTAATATTATCCCATTTATTTGATAATTCCACATCGGGAGATCGGGAGAAGAAGGAAAAAATAGTTATTTTACTCATATAAAGTGAATCTTATATTCTCATTCCATTTAATATTATAGTGCTGTGTATGTTTCAATTCAATATAGTTTAAATTTTAAAAGTTTTAATTAAGTAATTTTGACCTAACCGATTAGGCAAAAATTATTTGATAATCCCACATCAGGAGAAGAAAAAAAAAAAGAGTTGTTTTACTCATATAAGTAGATTTTATACTCTCATCCCATTTAATATTATCCCATTTATTTCATAATTCCACATCGGGAGATCGAGAGAAGAAGGAAAAAAGAGTTATTTTACTCATATAAAGTGAATCTTATATTCTCATTCCATTTAATATTGTAGTGTTATGCATGTTTTAATTCAATATTGTTTAAATTTTAAAAGTTTTAATTGTGTAATTTTGACCTAACCGATTAGGCAAAAATTATTTGATAATCCCACATTAAGAGAAGAAGAAAAAAAAAAAGTTGTTTTACTCATATAAAGTAAATCTTATACTCCCATCCCATTTAATATTATCCCATTATTTGATAATCCCACATTGGGAGAAGAAGGAAAAAAATAAGTTGTTTTACTCACATAAGTGAATCTTATACTCTCATCTCATTCAATATTGTAGTGTTGTGCATGTCTCAATTCAATATACTTTAAATTTTAAAATTTTTAATTAATTAATTTTGATCTAGCCGATTAGGCTAAATCATTTTTTATAATTGATTCGTTGGTTTAGCTGCGATTTTAGCGGTTTTATCAAAATATATTGATTATATTTGTTTGATTCAAAATTAACTAAAGATTGATTTGATTAAAAATTGAAAGACTGATATTGCTTGATTAGAAATAAGCTTTTTGTCCAAATAATTGTTAACTTTTATTTTATAATCCCACATCAGAAAAAGAAAAAAAAAAAGTGAGATGTTTCACTTATATAAAGTGAATCTTAATAGTTTAATATTGTATATACTCCAATTCAAGACAGTTTAAATTTTAAAATTAAAATAACGTTTAAAAATTTTAATTAATTAATTTTTGTATAAGATGGTTGGTCATTTGACCTAACCAATTAGGCTTACTGATTTTATTAATTTTAAACAATTAAAAAAATTTCCATTGACTAGGGAAAAAAAAAAAAAAGTTTGTTTCACTATGTATCTATCTATTTATATATTATATAAGGAAAATGAAATTTTTAGGGAAAAGTCTTCTAGGAGCTCTAAACCCTCATTATAAAATTATTGAATTTGCTTAATTTTAAACAATTGAGAAATTTTCCATTGGCTAGCTTTCATTTACCTTCTATTTTACGATTCCACATCGGAAAAAAAAAGAAAGAAAGTGAATTGTTTCACTTACATAAAGTAAATCTTATACTCCCATTTGTATAAGCAAAATGAGATTTTTAGTGAGAAGTCTTATGATCAATATCTCATATTAATTTTTCTGATTTTCTTAATTTTAAACAATTAAGAAAATCTCTATTGGCTAGTTTCCATTTAACTCTTATTTTACAATCCCACATAGAGGTTTTAATTTTAAAAATATTTTT